TGTCCTGCCAAGGCGTGGACGAGCCGAACCCACTGCCGCGCCCGTCTCTCCCTCCCTCTGCATTCCGCTGTCAGCGTGTCGATTCGCTGTGAAGCTAGGGAGCGAGCACCTCTCATCAATTCCTCGTGCTTGCGTCTCTACCTTCGCACCCCCTCTCCATCCGACCCCGCCCTGCCTTGACTCGTGTCGTGCCAAGCTCCAATTTTGGAATCTTGCCGCTGTCGTGCTGTTAAGGCTCGTCGCCGCCCGCGTCGTGGCCAGTCTCCATCACTTTATCTCACACCAATTCCTTTGCACCATTAGCTCGCCTTGGCTTCCTCTTCGTCATGCGCACGCTAGTAGCAGCTTTTGTGCTGCCTCCTCACCGCTAACGCGGTCGTGCCTTAGCGGTCCGCCGTTCGCCTCGCCGCGCGCACGCGGCCAACCTCTTTCGGGTTGCCTCCAGCTGAGCTGGCTTCTTGGTAAGGTCACCGATGAGTTGTCGTTGCTCACCCGCTGCCCTACTGCTTTGATTGTTGCTACGGCTCACCTGAACGTCGTCGCCATTGTCGCAGGGTGTCCGTCGTCATGGAGAGGTCCTTCTACGGCGTCCCGGCTCGCGCAACCACCGCTCATCATCTCGCGTCGAACCCTAGGTGAGCGTCGGCCTCGTAGCTAGGTCAACGGGGGTTCCGCGTGGCCGGCGTAGGCGCCTGTGCCACTGCTTGCCGCGCTGGAGCGCGCGGGGATTGCCGAGGGCCTTACCGCTGTAAAGAGGAGAAATGTTCGAGGGTTCTCTTGCATAAGTGCTGTCTATAGGAATAGTAACGTGGACTGCGGGTTGTTTTGCTCGTAGTCTAGGGGTGTTTTTACATATGTGTCAGCACGCGCAGGCCGCCTCCATGCGTGGGCCGTGCCTCGCCTGTGGGCCGCTGCACACTCGCGCGAGCGCGGGTTGCGCCGCGTGGGCCGAAATCGGTTTAGATTTTTCGTGGAAAATAGAAATAGCTTTTCATTTGTAATTCTGAGCTGAACTTTGGTAAATCATATAAAATCATGTAGATGTCCAAAAATTTATGAAACCAATTTTGTTAGGTTCTAAAAATTGTGCTCTATCTGTTAGTGTATTTAATTCATATATATATATATATATATTTGTTGATACCCGCGGCTATTAAATCATTTGTGAGTGAGATCGTTGAAGTAAAGATAGGTTGAAAGATATGTTAGCCCCATGATCTTATTATTGTATTATGGCCTGCATGATTCTGCCTCATGCCCCACTGATATTAGTAATGAGTTAGGGTCGTCGAGTCTATTGTTATTTCTACGGCCTGCATGATTCTGCCTTATGCCCCACTGGTCATAGCGATAGATGAGATCTAACATGTTCATTAGATTTATCTTTATCAAACGGTTAAATGGTGTTAAATTTTTTCTTTTTATAAAAGGAGTTCGGTTACTTATAATCATTGGCTCAGCACAAACGGATCATTGTTGACATCTTATTGCCATTGATTAATATATGTTCGATCAATGATATTTGCCCTAAATGATAACCGATTCTTTTTATACAACCCAATGAGCTTTAACCGATTTATTCTCATGAATATGCTGGAATCGACTATTTAGTCGATCTCCGTTCATATCGGCTCTCATAGCCGCATATTTGGGACTGTCTGGCAACACCGGCAAGTTCCGCCCTTAATTACTGATGAACTTTCTCTTCTTGTCAATTACAGGGTCAAATTGACTGGCACGTCTCGGGAGGAGGGCGCAGGATCGACCACCCTTGCGTTGAAGCTAGGCGGATCTGCTCGATCGAGCAGACCCTTCCGGCTTGCTGCGTGTGTTCTCGGCACGGGACGAAAATTCTGTGTCGACAAATATTATTTATAGTCTCGTTCAAAATCCGGGATGTGGATGTGAAATGTTATCCGCTGTAGTTTTGTGTTTTGACACGCGTCCGGAGGTAGGCCTCGAAGTTGATCAACTTAAGATCGGTCGGTTGGCTGACGGACCAAGTTTGAAGAGGCGATCAATCCAAAAGCCGATCACCGGTGCAACAATCGACGAAGGTGGAAGAATTTGTGCACACTAGGGTACAGTATCAACCAGACCAAGGAAATGACGAGAGATCGGTTGTGGAACACAGGTTTAGAAAAGAAGGGTGGCTCAAAAGGTCAAAAGGATGATCACCATCGAGTGACAAAATGTCATGATCTTCGATATGTCCTTGATTGAGAAGGGCCAATGGAATAGATCTGCAAGGAGGCCAAAGAAGTTAGCATGGAATCGGAGCAGATGGTTCGAAATGCGGCCCATGCAACAGTTATGAAGTAATTTTGGAATAAAATTATTTATTCTAAAATTGGGAGACATGTGTTGACACCAAAATTTGGTTCGAGAGAAGGAGGACACAAGGTTGGAGACTTATCGAAGGAAAGCCGAAATATTCAGCAAGATCGGCTAACTAAATTGGCATCAACTGAATAAGATGATGCCAACATTTCAAGGGAATGGGCCCCATTAGCAGGGGCGACAAGACATGGAGCAAGAGGACGCGTCGAACTTCATAGAAGGGAAATATTGAGGTCCAAGTTATCGTAATTTAGAAAGTTTTGTTTTCTTTTTCAAGTTTGTAACCGGTCTTGTTCGACCAGGACTCGTAGTCAAACCTCGGGTATAAATACTGAACCCCAGCTATTGTAATAGACATCTCTCATTGATAAAACAAACAAGTA